GCAGGTATCCATGTACTTATCAGACATTGCTGCCCTGTCTCTCCCTGTCACATTTTGTTTTCACATTGAAAACTCAAATCTCTTCAATAAAAGGGTGTTTCTCTTGTGCTTCCATGAGATAACTCCTTCCTGTTATCTTCACGATGTCCAAAGTCAGCTTAATTCATCACCCTCAGTATAGGGTGATGATGATACTTCAGGGTATCAAGAAAATACCTGTCTCCCAAGTGGTAATCCAAGCAAGGGGCATTCTTCACATTTACTGGGCTAAAAGAAGGTAGCAAGAGGTAGGGATTATTAGTAGCAACTGCAAAGTGATCTGCTTTCACTTCACACAAAAGCATGACAAATGAAATGCAGGATCTGAAAAAGCAGATGGCTGAAGCGGAGTTTGGTAATTTCTCCCACTGTGCCTTCTTCGAACAGGGATATCTGCACATTGTTTTCTTGTGAGTAAGTTCAGTGGAGAAGGAGGCCTTTTTGGAACTCACTCTCTTTCTTTTTTACAATTTTTTTAATCTACCTCCTTAGAAGCAGAAGCTGCCAATAGAGAGGCTGAAAAATTTAACTACTTCTCAAGGGCAAACAATGCCCTTTCTAAGAAGGCTAAAACCCAGCCTATGCAGGTGGGGAGAGCATTCCAGAGAGCTAGTAACACGGCTGTAGCAGTCAATAACTCCTAGACTTACTTGGGTAGTTATTCCTCCTTGCTATGCTTTCTGAAATGTGTTAACATCTCCCACAGATGACAGGCTTCATAGGAATACTCCCTTTGTTTTGTTTGTATTCTTTTCAATTCTTCTCATCAAGTTTTTGACAGTGCTTAGACTCTTAATTTTCTCAAAGGATGTGTCTAATCCAGTTCATATGAGGTTGTTTTTGGAACACAACAGAACAGTCTTGGACGGATTTTACACTAGCTGAAAACTTCAGCACAATAGTCTTACACATGGGACAAAATCCAGATAATCCGTCAGATGTTTACAGAGGTCACTAAAATGGAATTAAGCACTTTCTTTATTCAGGATATTTGAAATAAAACAGATTCTCCAATGGATGTGTTATGTTCTTTATGATGCAATGAAACCTGTACAGCTTCAGGAAAATGTGCCCCAAATGTGGGTGTGACCTGATTCTACTAAATTCAGGGTTAGAAGCAGGAAGAATGTTAGAAGGTTTAGAACACAGTTCCACAGTTTAGGACATTCTCGTCTGAAGATCTGTTCTGAACCACACTTGTCAAATAGAAGGAAAACATCAAATCGGATAAGTGTGACAGCTTTGTTTGAAGTCTACTTACGTTTTACTTGTTCTAGTTTACCTCCATCTATGAAAAGGAGACAGAGCACACCAAAAAAGATAAAATGAAAATCCTCCAATATCCACTTTTTTCTCATCTTTATCAACAAATGGAAAAGAAAGAGCCTCCAAAGTAGAGAATGTTGAGCTGTTGGGAAGAAAAGATTAAATTAATTCAACTAAAATCCTGTAAGATAATTACATTTTCTGACATGACTGCATCCGACACTCAGAAATCCTAAACTGCCAGAATAAAAAAATCAGTCTATATCATAGATCTTCATTTCATGGAAACAACTTTGGCTTCATATTGTTTCTTTTTTGGGGCCACATTCCCCATTCATGAAAGCTGAAAACTGGGTATTACTTCTAATAAAGTCCTTAGTTTATTCCAAAACAGAGAGATCTGGCAAGTAAGGAATCTAAATTCTTCAAGTTCTCTTTCACAAGAAACTGGTTTGTAAGATTTTCTTGTAGAGCAGCTCTTTTGGATGTAACTTAGGAGATACAGGTCTCAGTTGTAACATGTTTGCTTCATGGTAAAATGGACCTTGGGTGTACCTGGTGTATGGGCCTGCACTGTGGAAATCCAGGCTTAGGGTGAACTGCTGGCCATGCTGTAGTCCATGGGAGCTTTCCTCTCTGCATCCAACAGGCTTCCACCACTATTTAATTCACCCCTCCTCCCCTCTCCCAACTACTATTGTTCTGGGATTGTGTATAATTAATTTTTCTGGAGTTAACCCTTCTGTTGCCTTGATATCAGAAAGTGGAATGGGGCAAGGACATTTCATCTTCATTCTTGTAAACATTTAGTATCAAACTCTTGCATATGGGGCAATACTTAAGGTATTCTTCTCTGTGTGCTGCAGAGATGGCATCGTACTTGCTGCATGCACCATTCTGTTTATCTTTTTCTGGCTTTTAAAAGGTTAATTATTTTATAATGAAAAAACCAAGGGCAAAAATAATTAACTAAAGTAGAATTTATTAATTTTTTATAGCCAACCTAAGATTCTAAATTGAGAAATATATTGATGCTTTACAGTTTATCAGAATTCATTGCAAAAGCATTATCTTCCCAGAGTACACTTGTCCATCATTTACAATGTTGGAAAGATTCGGGTCTGATTTTAAGATGTGGATTCAGAATTAGTTTTACAAAAGTTTTTTAAAAAAATCCTCAGTGTTGGAAAAATAAGCAATCTGCTTTGTAAACTAATTTCACTTCTTCATATTTCATGTAAATAATAGAACTGTACATGAATATGTTTCAGCTCACAGATAACCAAAGCAGACATAATAATTTATACATGTATATTCAAAATTAAGTGGTGTGTAACTTAGAGAAATGAACTAAACAGTAAGTTAACAAGCACTTAAAAAGAAAATCTTCCTCTTAAGACTGTTGAGATCTCGGATACTGTAACAAAGGGTGGAGGATCTGATTGTACCAGTGTGGTTTTATTGCCTTTACTCTTTAAGCGTTCCCTACATTCCCAAACCACAATCAAAACGGACATCTTCCTTAACTAACCCGAGCTTTGCAGCCACTCTGTCTATACTCAGTAAGCTCATTCAAAATAATGCAAACTCCATCTGAAAACATTAAAAAAAACCCCACAATCTTAAAAGCATTGTCACTATGCTGTACCAAAATACAACTTCCCATTTATTCTGCAAGCTGACAACAATATTCCAATTTCAGAAGAAAAGTTTAAGTAATGTTTTCCTTCCGTGTTCAAATCACATAGGACATTTTAAACCCAAACAATCTTTTAAAACCTTGTTTAAAATCAAAACCTTGTAATTTAGTCCCAGGATACCATGCATGCATTGAGAACAACAGTAGCACATCACTGGGACTAGCAGAAATGCGAATGTTTAAATATTTTGGCCTTCCTGGGGGTTGCTTAAGCAAACAATATCTATAAATGGAGCACAATTATCCTTTGTGCAGCACTTTACCTGTTAGCTAGATTGGTTAGTTCGAGTAGGAAGGCTCAGAAATCTATCCATTTTAAATGCCAGGTCTTCAAAAAGAAGAGCATTTTAAAACTTGGGTTGTTTATGCTCAGAAATGCTGGTTGGTAACGTGAAATGGAGGAGTTAATAACAGAAACGGGATGGGGACTTTTGATGTCTTTCTTAATTCTCTTTAATTTCTGCATTGTTGTTACTCCAAATATAAACACATAGTTTTCACTATTAGCACACTCCCTTTATTTCCCCAAAGGGCAATGTCCTAAAAATATTCCTGGATTTAAATAATCTCAGTCAGAATTAACCTGTTAATTATTGGTGTGTTTTCTGCTTAGCAGAAACAATGAAAGCCATCCACTTCGTACACGGGTTACTCACTGAAATAAGGCGTTTGGCTCTATTTTTTATGCCTCGCCCTCCAGGGAGCCCGGTTGAGTTACTACAAGTGGCAGAGTCCGGCCTCGCCACGTTTTACGATTAATGCAAAAAAAAGACTATCTGGAAGAGGCTGTACGAGGAGCGGGGCTACCGGGGGCGGCCGGCGACCGAGCGGCGGGGCCGGGAGCGGAGCCCACCCCACAGGACGGGCCGCCGTTCTCCCCATCACACGGAGCGAGGGGACGCGTCTCCCTCCGCTCTCCCCGAGGCTTTAATTCCCGCAAACCTGCGCTTTTACCGTCGGGGGTGTGTTGTTAGGCAGGCGAGTCTCCAAGCGAGCCCTGGCCGGAGACTCGGGGCTCTCGCTGCTCCAAGAGAACGCTCGTCCCCCGGGCGCCGATCCCGGGAGCGCCCCGCAGCCCCGCCCGGGGCCGGCAGGGAAGGTTCGCCCGTGGGCTGCCGTCGGGGCAGTCCCGGTCCCAGCCGCTTGCCTGGGGCTCCCGGGAGCGGAGCCGCGGCGCGCACGGCCCCGGGGCCCGGCCAGGTGCCGGCGGTGCCGCGGCGGGGGCGGCAGGACGTCGGCCGGCCCCGACCCTTGGCCGGGCGAAAGCAGCCGGACTGGAAGCGGGAGAGGCGTCCGGTAGCCCGGTGCCGCTACCCCGGCCCCCGCGGCAGTGCCCGCGCCCGGGGGCGCAGCTCCGAGCGGGACCGCGCCTCGCCCGGGGTCTTGCCTGGGAAAGAAAAGCTCACAAACCTGGGGCAGGGCTGGAGGCCGCTCCGCTCCGCCGCGGGCTCTGGAGACCGCTCGCAAATAGCGGCTTCGGCTGGGGAAGCCGCGCCGCTCCGCTCTCTGCGCTCCGCCGGGCTGCGGGAGGGCTCCGGCCAGGCGGCTCCGCTTCCCACTCACGTTGCCATAATCTCCCGCGGCTCGGCCGAGCTTTTAGGTCTCCCCTCCGCTCCCGCAGTGGCGGTGGCGAGGGGGCAAGCAGGGGACCGACGGGTTCCCCGACCCCCGACCGACGGACGGGAGCGGGGCGGGAGGAATCCGCTAAAGCCTGAGCTGCGGGGACGCTGCGGGGCGGGCGCTCCGGAAGGTCCCGGTCTGCCCGGTCGGGGACACCTGCCACCGCCTCCTGCCTCAGCGGGGAGCGCAGCGAGGCCCCGCGGCCGGAGGATGCTCGGCAGCAGGTCCTGTCCCGCAGCCCGGCCGGCGCTGGAGCGGCGGCGGGAGGAGTGGGGCGGTCCGCCTCCCGCCCCGGCCCCCTCCTCTCCCGCGCCCGCTCCCGCCGCCCGGCACAACCAGCGTGACTGACACGGCCCGGGGTGGAGTTTGCTCCGCTATGGGGGGCCGGGAGGAGGCGGGGGGCCGGGGGTCTCCGGCTCGGGCGGCCCGGCGCCCGCCCTCCCGTCTCCCCTCCCGCCGTGCGGGAACCACCTGCGGGCCGGCGGGACCCGCACCCGGGCTGGCGGGACCTTGCTCCGGTGCCTTCAAACAGAGCTGCGGGCTGGGTGAACGCAACCCGCCCCCTCCTCGGTAACCGAGCCCCACGGGCGGTTTGCTTAGAGAGAGGGCTGTACACCGGGATGGCTCTTTAATGGGCTTTTCACACGCGGGGTGCCCTCCGGAGCAGACCCGATGGAGTTAGCGTCCACTGGGATTTGTCAGACACCCTCTGCTGATACCCTCTGCTCTGATTTATTGTGTTAGAAGGTTTCAAGGTCCGCAGCCCGGCCGGCGCTGGAGCGGCGGCGGGAGGAGTGGGGCGGTCCGCCTCCCGCCCCGGCCCCCTCCTCTCCCGCGCCCGCTCCCGCCGCCCGGCACAACCAGCGTGACTGACACGGCCCGGGGTGGAGTTTGCTCCGCTATGGGGGGCCGGGAGGAGGCGGGGGGCCGGGGGTCTCCGGCTCGGGCGGCCCGGCGCCCGCCCTCCCGTCTCCCCTCCCGCCGTGCGGGAACCACCTGCGGGCCGGCGGGACCCGCACCCGGGCTGGCGGGACCTTGCTCCGGTGCCTTCAAACAGAGCTGCGGGCTGGGTGAACGCAACCCGCCCCCTCCTCGGTAACCGAGCCCCACGGGCGGTTTGCTTAGAGAGAGGGCTGTACACCGGGATGGCTCTTTAATGGGCTTTTCACACGCGGGGTGCCCTCCGGAGCAGACCCGATGGAGTTAGCGTCCACTGGGATTTGTCAGACACCCTCTGCTGATACCCTCTGCTCTGATTTATTGTGTTAGAAGGTTTCAAGGTCACATTGGGATTCTGGTGGAACTAAATTAAACCCATGACTCATGACATTATATGCTTGGTCAAACATTCTTTTTCTGTCGTCTTGTAGCCCCTGTAACTAATAAGAAGAGATCAGTGAACCCTTGACAAATGATCTGAGAAAAAGGGTGAGGTATGAAAAGACATCATGTGGAGAAACAAATTACAACCTATTTCCCCTAGTTTGGGACCGGGGTGTTTAGGGAGCACTGCTGGGAGGTCATACACCTCCCAAGCTTGGTAGATATTTTCAGAAGGCTGAAAATTGAGCAGAACTTTCATTTCTTCCATTGTAACTCAGCTGGACAAAATATTGAAAATACAGTGTATGGTGAAACCTTGTATTAGCACGCGGAAAGAACAGTTGACTTACGAAGGGTTTCGTTGTGTGTCTTCATGAGCAAGCAGGGCTGTGTGTTAGTAAAGTGAGAAAGAAACTGCATTCTGGAACTAAGCATTTTGAAAACACTGCTCCATGCCTACTTCTTCTGTGTCCCTGTTCCACTCTCTGCCTTACAGGCAGTAATCCATGTTCCTAAGGAAAAATCATCACTTAAAGCTCTTAGTTCTGAATGTGATGGCTGCTGCCACAGGCTGATAGTTTTGGAAGAGCCACTGTGTGAAATAGGGACAGGCAAGCGGAAAAACAAATGGTAGCTCTGAATCAGAAATATGATGGTAATTTTCACTTGAAGGCAGAGAATCTGAGCTGTGGGAGCTCAAAGGTGTACCCACGCTCATGGAGAGAAGAGTTAAGCATGTACACCCATGGTTCTAAATTTTAAAGTTGTAGTCATGTTGTTCCTTTAGATGTTGTGCTGGGTTAGACTGTGTGGTGTCAACCTGTGAGATGAGATGGCATATGAATAACATGCACTTAGATCTATGACTGAACTGACCCTGTTGCATTCTGCAAGGAGCTCTAGACCTAAAGACAGTTAGAGTCTTCCCACTGACACTGGCATAGGGTGGAGGGACTTTCCTAGGAGCTGCCTTTGGCTATTTGGGAGCCTGCTGGGTGTGGGACTGGTGGTAAATCTTGCCATAGTACCACTTCACCAGTGCCACTGATCTTGTCTCAGAAATTGAGTTCAGACACCACAAGGACATGCAGAGTGAAGGGTGTAACACCAAAGGTAAATGAAGTGAAGTTAAGACCATACTGTGAAAAGAAAGGATTTTGTTACTGGAACGATTGTGTGCATCCCTTGACAGCTCTAAATTTAAACTAGATTGCATCATCAGGGATGTTTCTTGGATTTAGTGCAGCAATTACAAGTGAAACTCTGCACTTTTGTCCTGCTGTCCTTACAGGAGGCTAAAGTTGTGCTGGTGACTCTGCATGTGATAATTTTTCTTCCAAATCAAAAAGCCATTAATTCCCTGCAATGTTAGACCTAAATTGATATGGCATCAGATTTCAGAGGAATTAATGAGATATTAAAATGCCCTTAGTAACATCATGAAAATACATCTCTTTATAGAAAAGGGGCATTGCATGGGCTGTCCAAATTCCAGTAGAATGTTTTGATTTTCTGGATCCTGGTATTACTACAGTTGGATGAAGGCTGGGTTTTGTGTGCTGGGTCTCTAGTCCATGAAGTTTTTGTTGTGTTGTTGATTGTATTCTCTTTATGGATAACAGCGGTCAAAATGAGCATACGTATAGTGTAATTTTCAGAAGACTTGCAGCCTGTGAGTGTCTGTTTCCTTCAGTGTTACTCAAAACCAAATACACAAATTGTAATTCTGTTGAGAAAAGAAAAGAGATTGCGAATCTTTTTAGAGGAATCCAATGGTCTTTGTAGGCAGGCTTGATAGTTTGGTTTTGTAGTATCTACATCACTTTGATACGTGCAGCTTTGGGCCTGGGCAGAGCTCAGTTTTACTGTGTAGACATCCTCCAGAACAACTTATCCAACACAGCTACCCACCTCTGTCAGACTTCCCCTACACAGCATTCCTCATGTGTATTTCCTTCTCCGTGCCGATACAAAATCCAGTGTGTGTAGACAAAGACATCAGTGATTGTTGCAGTACTCTTTACGCATAGTTAGTGTAGTAGTAATGAGAAATGAAATATTCTGTATGACTCTGTGACCCAAATTCTTTTGTAGAGAGATTCTTTGAAAATAAATTCCTTATTTGGCCTGAAGAGTGCCTTGGGAAAGTTGCTATAGGTGCCAGCACTTTCCACTGCATTCTGTAAGACTGTTTCAGAAGATGATGGTGTCTGAATGTCTCTGGAGAGACTGTGTAAAGTGTAAGACCTTTCGTGAACATACAAATATACGAAATGGAATCCTTTTTCTACTCTTGGGCAAATTTACATTGTAGAGAATTGGCTGAAAGAGCCCTTTTCTCAGTTGAGGGCTCAGGACTCACTGAATGGGCAACTTGATGGAAACCCAGACTTCCAAGGGCAGGATGTCTTACTCCTAGACCTGATCCTGCCCCTCCGGCTGTGCTGTTCTTCAGTTGCTGAGGTGTTCCTGCAGGCTTTTGAGTGATGATGCAGCTTAGAATTGTCAGGATCTGCTTTTTTCTTGGTCAGGTACAAAGACCTCTCTTTCTTGTCGTACATCTTCACGTGCCATAGTGTCGCAGCAAGTGTTACGGTTGTTAGGTCAAAGGGTAATGTGACACATGCTGGACATTCTGCATGAATTAAATCTTCACAGGTGGCCTCTTGGTGGGTGACCCTTGCTGAGCTCACAGGTTTGCCAGCGCCCTTGGATCCTGGTAGTGCTGCACCCATGTCCAAACTGTTCCTTTTCTCCCAGCTCTGCCTAAGTACCACTGAGGAGTAAGTACAATTAAAAGCTCTTTGTGTCTTGTCACAGCCCATTATGCTTTGCCTTGTCTCGGAGCTAATACAGCCCCATGTTAAGGAGTCTGTCTTCCTCCCCTTAGACAACAGCTCTGATATGACTTAGCAAACACCTTGCCCTGTGCTCTTGCTCAGCAATGGGCTGATACTGCCATTTGTGAGGTTCAGGGCTGCTGCACATGTGTGACACAGAGAGCTCCAGAGAAGCATCAGATATGTAGTTGTTATACCCTTCATGCTGCCAAACAGAAATCACTCCTTGAATATGTTCTGTGTCCTGGTGTCTGGAAAGAACTGCTCCTGTCAACGAGCATTAGAGACTCAAGGATGCCCTAAGTTTTTAAGAGCACAGAGATTTAGCTGTGTAATTCTCATTAAAGATAATGGAAGTTAAGCAGCTAATACACTGTGACACTCACAGTAGAAGTCCATCTCCTTGTGCTGTGCCTCCCAGTGATTGAGCAGTACATAGTATCCTGCTATTATTTCTCAGTTCTTGTGAGGGAAAAAAAAACCAGGATAAAAGATTCATGCTAATGTTAACATGTTTATACACCGTGTGGAGTTTTCTTAAGTGGAACAGACACTGAACTTTGAGAGATGAGTTTAGATACATGACACAACTTTCATTTACCTCCCTGTCTTTTTTTTTCTTTTTTCCTTTGCTTTCAGGAAAAAAATATTATCAATGGTCAAATTTTCACTTCTGCAAAACTATGAAAGGATGTTCTTAAACTTATTAATTCCTTTGCTTTTTACATTCCTATAAATTCAGTGGAGCCCTTTGGAAAATGCATCTTAGGTTGCTAAATATTATTCACAGGATTTCATAAAAATCTCTAAATTACTTTTTGTGGTTTGGATCAGCCCTACAACTGTCATACTGGGAATACAATCTGGATGTTCATCAAGCAGTCTTCAAACATACTGTTAAACAAAAAGGGCTTCAGATGTGCATGATTTTGTGATTATGGCATAGGACAGTCATGAACATTCTCCACCCTCCTGTTCATTCTGTAGCACTGACTTCATCTGCGGTGGGGTTTCAGTCCTCTAGCACTAGAAATTAATGTAGTTATTTAGAAGTGAGACAGATGGACGTAGTGAATCTGAAATTTCAATACAGTTTGCTAAATAACAACGGCAACATTACATAAAATGTCAAATTGCAGCCCATTCCTTATTATCCTCATGTGGACATACTCAGCTGAGACTGAAGAGTAGCTGAAAATCTTTCATTGTTCTGTCAAAAAATGCAAATAAATTATATGTCATTAAATCTCACTTCCAAATACGCAGGTAAGAAGAGAGTCTCAAGAGCTGCCAGTTAAACATAAGAATGCAGGAGAAAGGAAACACAGAGTTTTTCATTTTTTCCTAAAGCAAATGAGGCTTTGCTAGGTAGGATGTCAATATCAATGTACAGGTATAGAGTGGACATACATGCACTCAGGGGTGAGGCCCTCCTGAATTTTGCATTGATTTCAAACTGCTCATCTGCAGCTGTTTCTAATCTAATCTAATCTAATCTAATCTAATCTAATCTAATCTAATCTAATCATCTAATCCAACCCATTCCATTCCATTCTGATTCATCCCAGTCCATCCCAGTCCATTCCAGATATTTACAAAATACCTATTACCACCCCAGTGTGTGTGCAGATGTAATTATGACAATTTGTAGGAATACAGATTTTTTTTATATTCATGAGCTGCTGAGCTTCACCATGGTATGTCAAAACACAGTGGTTTACTGAGCATAGAGAAATAATAATGAAGTGTTATCACCAAGATATGTAGAAACAGCTATTATTCAAACTTTCAAAAGAGCCCAAGGAATCTACACAAACTACAATGAAATTGTGAAAAGGCTGGTCTTCATCACATTCTCAGAAATTTTTTCCTCTCTGTCCTGTCTTTCCTTGTACCTTCTTATACAGTTGGTTGAATTTCCAATTCAGAAAT